ACCACAGTGCAGGACCTCGCAGTCAGCGGTGGATGGGTGTGTAGCACTGACCTGGTTTTGCATGTGCAAAAGTGGAACATAGCACCCTTTGGGTGCAGTTGCTTTTCCTGCACTCTCAGAAGCTGTGTGGAATTTCTGGATGCATCCTAGGGAACTATAGTTTTATACAGGCAACTTAGTTCCTTTTGAAAAGTCATAGAGCAAATAAAAGCCCCAAGCTGTGGCTCTGCTGTTCACTTCATAGAGGCTATATGTAGGCTGGTTAAATGGATGAAAGGAAAACATAGCTTGGCCACAAGAAAAATAAGTTCTCTAATTGATTGGGTCAAGAGGACCTCAGCAACCCCTGCTTGGATGAAAATGGATTGTCATTTACAGCAGAGACAGGAAATCTGACCTAACACAGCTAACACAAATCAGGAGCTTCAGAGATTCAAGCTAAAACTAAAGTTAGAGGTAAATATGAATAGCTGAAGCTGTGGAGGGCCAAACTTGGTATGCTCTGAGGCCATATTCATTCCCAAGCTGATAGATAGGCCAAACCACTATTGTTATACTTTCTATGAAGAGCAATTTTCTTAGGAAACTGTGCTCAATAACATCAGAGTCTCTCACTGTGCTTTTTAGCTGATCTCTCCCCCTAGATGACAAATCTGGCAGGCAGATAGGTAAAGTCAGGGTCCTGAATTGATTTGTTGGCAATTTTAAATTGAAATTAATATGAATGGGTGAGGACAGGTGAAGCAACAACAATAAAACCAGCCACAATTTCCTGTACAGTGGAAATTGAAATAATGGTTTAAAGTTAGTTTTAAAGGAATGCTCTTGTATTCTTTCATCTGCATTTTGCATAGGAAACTGAACAATATATTCTTTATGCAGTAAGAACAACCTGGAGTACTGTTGCTAATAGAAGCAAAAATCTAAAATCAGCTACTATGCCCATAATACCAAATATTCAAGCCTTTTATGTGTCTCCTTCCCATTGTAATGTTTATATCTTTTTCCACAAGTGTTCAGGTTCAAGCCTCCCCAGCAGGATTCTCCTGGCAGGCAGAAATTGATGCAGCTGCCTCTTGCAGAAGCTCACAAACATCTTGTATTGGTCACGGGGCTGTGGCAGGTGAACAGGGTGGTTTTGTATGATGAGTTATATGATGGCCTGGTGGGAGGAGCACCGCCAGCTGGAACGAAGGAGCGCAAAGAGCTTTCACGCGCTCAGGAGGTGGGGCAGGGAGCCCGGCCCAGCCGGGGGTGCTGGGGCTGCAGGGCAGCCCCGAGCTGTGTCTGGGAGGCGAGTGCTGTGCACAGCTTGGGCAGCAGTGCAGGGCAGGGAACAAGCAGCTGCACTGGCACCAGCTTGGGGGCTGCACAACTACAGAAGAGCAAAGGATTAGCTCATTTGTATTAATTATCTATACATGTTGGTGTGGGACAATAGAAGTCACTAAACCCATGGGGTAGTGACTATATATAGTCATATATAGTGACCTATATAACGTACTTGTATGTCTGTGCAGCAGTGAGAGAGCTTTCTGTAACTATGTAAATACTGATGGTTTCCTATGGCTGAATGATGTGACCCTTTATTTTGAACTTTGAAATGGATTTTTTTTCCCTAACTAGAATATTAATGAGCCTACAGGAAATGCTTGCTTTTCAGAAAGTCTGTGATTTTTTTTACAACAGTTGTCTCTGAATTAATTGGCAGAAACTGATCTTGACCTCGTTTTCCAGACCTTGGAAAAAATGAATCTGAAGCAGTTGACAGCTACATAAAAATGACAGTTTTGCACAATAACTTATTAATTAATTTTCCTACTCGGAGATGGCTGTCCTTGTACACAAGGGTTATTAGTATTTTTGTTATCATCATTTTCCATTTAGCCAATATAAACAGGCTATTAGTGTTCTATACACTGCTCTAGTCACATGAAACTTATTTTGGTTTTGTGAAGCTGTTAATTATTTTTTCTACACAAGTTTTTAGTGGGCCTGCAGGAAAGAATGGTTCTGGTTTTGATTTATTTTGAAGTAAGATTCCTGAGGGCTGGATTCAGTAATACAATCTATTTGTCTTAAGCACTGCAAAGGCTCCTGGCAAAGCTCTAAAAATCAATTTTTTGAGAGACAGAGAGAAAACGTATAGCTGTGCAGTAGTTTTAGCAGTCCAGAAATGTGAGGGGTTTTCTTTTTTTAACCAGTCTTTAAATGCTTATAGATTTGTTTGTTTTAATAGGATTAGAATCAAATATTTAAGTTGCAGAATATAGACCCTGTAGGCAGAAAAAAGTGGACATAATTTATAAAAGCAAATAAGATCTATTAAGGAGTTCAAAATAAAATCTTATTAAAGCACATTGATTAGAGTGTAAGATCTCTCCTACAGAACTGGACATAAAACCAGAACTAGAGTGTGATTTTAATTGCAAATAATTTAATGCTGTAGTTCCGTTTTGATTAAATACAAAATATGAGTGGCCTGCCTGTCAAAAAGTGAACTTGGAAGCAAATTCTGGGATAATTTGAAAGGCTGGTGGCCCACCACACATGCTGAGATGGGAGGAAAAGAGATATTTTGGTCTTGATGGTGTTGCCTTGAGTTGAGGTGTGTCCCCAGTGCAGAGCTGCTGGCAGTAAAAGCTCAGCTGGTGGCTGGGACAGAGCAACCTCTGCAGCCTCTCAGGTGTGCGAGAGGTGAGGCTCTGCCCGGGCCCGCCGCCCTCTGCAGCCCTGCCAGGCTCCTCCAGGGACAAGGAAGGCGCTGGGCCCTTCTTGGGGGCTCAGCCAAGAGCTGCTGCACAAGTGGCCTTGCTTGGTCACCAGCACAGTGAGAGCCTCACCTCACAGGGTTAAATCAAATGATAGAAGTTTATAAAGCAAGTCACTTTGTGAAATGGTTTCCAGATTTCTGATGCAAGTTTGGGAGTGCAGATGAGGTTCAGGGTCCTTGGAGTTATTCAGCCCTTTCTGTAGGGAGAGAAGCTGTGGTGTGAGACGGGTTGATTGTAGATTTAAGTGATTACTACTGACTGTAGTAATTCTGGAAAAAAAAAAGGGTAAAAGATTTATGGATAATGTTATACAAAACAGAAGGAAGGAACTCAAGTATGATTCTGACCTGCAATACAGCAGGGGATCCAAAAGATTGTTTTGCTTTGCTGCTGTGGGACGAACACTGGATGTGCAATATGTGTACTGGTAATATTTTACCTAAGTCCTTAAAATGTTAATGTTGGAGTAGATTTGTTTGAACAGAATAGAGATCTGTTCAGTTAATTGAAAGACTTTGCAATATTCGCTTAGAACAAAGCTGAAAAAATAATTTAGTAGACTTTTTGTTAAATATGAGAGACCTAATCCATGCTTCAAAAATGCATTTGCATGGTTTGAGGGGACTTCTGGGACTGAAAGATGGTGAAAAAGAGGCTTAAAAGTGAAGAATTATACAGTGGTGAGACTTTAAAAAGACACCAAATTTAATCCTATAAGTCCTTGTAAGAGTTACAAGACCAGACTTCAGCTGATAAAGTTTTTGTTGCCCCATTAAAGTAATTCTTGTGTATTTATGGAGGATATCTGAAGGTTTCTTTTTTCAAATTGTATTCCTATTAAAAAAATCTCTGAATGGAAGTCTGTGATCAGGGATTTTCCTAAATACAGGTTATATGGCACTGCTGTCTTCTTGTAGAGCTGCCCAGGGCTGAGGACAGGGGCTGGGCAGAGCCAGTGCTGAAGAGCAGGTGAGGAGACAGACCTCAGTGCTATTTTAGGGCAGGGAAAATTCAGATTAATCTGAAGTGATGATGCACCATCCTCAGCCCATGAATTTCCTGCAGGAAAGCATCCTTCCCTTTTTCCCCCCCACCTTCTCAGCTTGTCAGCCCTGGCACAGGGAGTCTGGTGGGACATGGGATGGAGTGAGAGGCCTGGGCTGTGCCCTGGCCCGAGGGGCTCTGCTTGGCACGGTGTGACAAACAAGCAATCCCACCTTGGGCTGGGGGTGGGGGTGTGTGCTGGGCACTGCCCTAATGCCTCAAGAGCCTGTGACCACTTGCAGCTGGTTGGAAAGGCAGTGTTGCTGTGGCCACATTCTGGAAATAGAGCTCTGTGGCTTTTTGTTTTATGAACTTCATAACTGGTAGAGATGGAGCAACTCCATGAATGAGATGAAACTGGAACTTTTAAGATCAAAAATAAACCAGTTCAGGCACTGACTTGCTGCACGGACTTCATAACTAAGGATAGGCACTTTTGCTTCCATATCACATTTTGTTTAAAGAGAGATAGGTGCCATGTAAAAGTTGATATTTAGCAATATATTATTTGCTAAATTATTAATGGGTTTGCTCCTGTTATCTTGTTAATTTTGAGGCACTATTAACAAATTTCCTTTTTAGGAATAGTGACTACTTTTAAAGTTATAAAGATTTGTTAGTCACAGCAATACATAGAATTACATATAAATGCTAAAAACTGGTATTTTAATTTGCCTAAAAATTATTAAAGTGAAATTCCTGGATATGTATCATCCTAGTTCCTAAAACTTGTGGAATGAATAATTCATCTGAATAATGTAGTCTTTTTTTTCTGTTGGTGCAATATCAATATTTAGGTCATGATTTCTAAACTGTTCATTTTTATTTGCCAAAATGTCTTTTGAGTTTTTACCTCAAAGAAGAACTGTAATTTAAAAAAAACTTGTGCAGCGCTAATTAATTGTGCCTGTTTGGATAAGCAAAAGAGTAGTTCTTTATTTTAATCACTGGATAAATTTGTGTCTCTGAATTTACCACTTTATTTTTATGTGTTCTCATTTGGAGCTGTGCTGGCTATTGTGGATGCATCTATAGGTGTCTTTGCTTGTGGGATTCTACCCTGTGGTTTTTAAGCCAATGAATTTTAAAAATTTCTGATTCTTGCATAAATATTTCATTAAATATTTATTCACTGTGCAAAAATTTATTGAGGTTAACTTTTTTCCTTATCCACTCATGTAGATTTGCTCATGCATGTTCTACCTGTCTCGCTTGGAGCTATGGGACACAATGGTCACTGATGTCCTACTTTTTCTGTGAACATCACCTAAAGGACGCAGTGAGGAGAAGGACACTTGACTGGCAAAACACCTTTCAGGTCCTCAGGCACCACTTCAGATGGGAAAGTCTAAAGCATCAGGTGAGTCTGAATGAATGACTGTTTTACTATCAGATATATATATCACAATTAGGGAGCTAAGAACAAATGCAACTGTTTCCTGGGCAATGAGGCATGAGATGAAAGGCTGATGTCCAAATGTAAGAATCCAATTAGCGAGTGACTTATGTCTGTGGTATAAAATCAAAATGCTCCTATTTCAGTTACATGTTCCAGCACTGTGTGGGTTCCTCTCCTTGTAAACTACAGAAGAATTTTTTCTTATCTGGAATAATAATAGGTGGTGTTATAAAGAAATGGCGTGTGAGAAATAGTGCACAAGTGGTGCTTTCTTCCACTTCATGTTTTACACACTGAATGCTGTACACCAGGGCCTTTAGTGGTGTAAGTTATTAGGGATACTGATTGCAGTTTCATAGCTTCTTATAAGTTTGGGGATGAGCCAAATCAGTAGTTACACATTGGGTAGGAGAGGCATGTTCTTGAGAGGATGCTTGCAGTATCAGACTGCTGCATTTTGCAATGGTAATCAGTTCTCCACAGTCTAATAGTGCTTTGGACCTTCCCGTGATGTTTTTCATAAACCTAAAGTAAATAGAGGGGAGATTGTACTGTTCCTTTGTGATCTATTCCTTGAGGAGTGAACCTATGAAACTTAGAGATTACTTTATGAGAGGAATGTGGTCATGTTAAAGACTTGAGATTTTGGTGGGGGAAGGACTTGAAGGTTATAGACTAATTTAGATAGAGGCTTATTTCACAGATCATTTATTTGGAAGATTGGGATTTTACAAAAGGAGTCTGGGGAAGTACATTAATTTCTTTGAAGTGACTAAAGTGTATGGTTTTATGATCTCACTTTATTGGGTAATGCACCTTTCTGATTTCCTTTCAACAGCTCCCCAGAATGTATTTACAATTTATAGGATCATGCTTAAGCTCAGTGCCTAAACATGCATGTTCATTGCCTGCATGTAATAATAAATGATAATGGAAGAAGAATATTGAGCTGTTAGTTGTAGGGATTACAAAACTCTTATCTGATGACCAAGGATAAATACGACTGATGGAAGATGACTGAATTCACACATCTGTTTATCCTCACAGTGGCACTGGGCATAGATCGAGACAAATATACATGCAGAGAGGGGAAAATTGAGGACATATGCTGGCCCTTCAAACAATGTGGAGAATGTGCATTTAAAGATGCTTACATGTAGGTCTGTAAAGCTGACCTAAACACCAAATAAAAAAAGTCAACCAGATGTGACCCTGTATGCCTCATAAACCCTAATGAATAACTGCTTTTATTGCTTTGCATACAGTGCCTTGCTAAATGTGATTATGGAGATCTTAAATCCACATTGGTTTAGGGTAAGGCAAGAACTCTGTTTAAAATCAGCAGGCAAACACATCCATGTTAATAGAACCTACATCATCTAGGTGTGGCCTTGTGGTTTTTATTATCATGGTTGACTTCATCCTAAATTGTATAATTGAAATATTCCTATATTACTTGCTTATTAGAAGGGGCTTTGAATGAAGCAGTTGAGAAACTTGGGTGAGAAAATAGAACAATTTCACTCTTTCATTGTTCTTTATGCTTAGTGATGCTTGGTTCATGCTCACCCACTATCACTGTTTGTGGTACTTTGCTCTGTTCTCATCTTGTCATGACATCTGCTCAGTCTGTGTTGTGGATTTCAGTACAGTGTCATGTTTCCTGATGCTGTCAAAGTCTCTTTTTAAAAAAAATACAGTTCAGAAGGTAGCAAATGTGAGAGTTAATCATAGTCCTTTATGTGAGTTTCGCTTTGCTAGATTTTCTGGTTTTATTCCATGAAACAACTTCATTAGAGAGCATGTAGTTACTGTGACCTATCCTGATACTGTTTGCTGTTTAACAGTATTGATGCAAAAATTTACAGTGAATGAGAACCCTCCTGAAAGTCTTCAGTGTCATTATTAGTCACCACAGTACCATTGGCTCTATAGTGCTGCCAGACTAAACTCCATTTTTGTTTTCTGGTCCTTTCCTGCTGCAGTTGCATTTTCGGAAATTAGGACCACTGAACTTTCTAAGGAAAATGTAGGATTTCATGCTAAATTTTACCTTACTTCTACTCTTGCTGTTATAATTTAGAAAAATATACTCAAGAGATTGAGAAGGTGATTCAGATAAGGCATCAGATGGAAATGAAAACCAAAAATTTTGGCTCTGAACTTATGGCTGAGGTTATTGAACCTCCTAGGTGGACCCTGTTCTATTGGTGGTACTACTTGTACTGTTCACTATGGCTTATGGAAAAGCATAATACAGAGAATGAACTGACCTTTTTTTTAACTCTTTCCTGCTTTATACCTGGCACTTCATTCTTTCAAATCCCTTCTGCTTAAACTTCAATTTTTAAAATTCCCAGTAGATAATTTTTTTCCTGCTAATTAATTTACCAAAAATAGATTGAGTTTGTCTTTGGATATAAACTGCATGAATCCTTGTCTACACAGAACAATTAATAAACTTGTCTGTAAAAGGAAGATGGGTGCAAACTAAAGATGGAGGAGGGAGCAAAAAGTTATAGGGAAGAGAGAGGAGAGACCTTCTTGAATTGAACCATCCCAAGTATGGAATATTTACAATATTCTTTGTTCAAGAGATTCAGTTCATTATTCCAAAATGCCTGGTATTTTAATATCTATGGTGGAGTTAATGTTCTTAATTTCCTAAGATTTCTGCTGTTTCTTGAGATGCAGGGAAAAAAACAAATGCATTTTAAGATTCATATTTTCTTCATTTATTGAATAAATCATCCTGACAGGAGAGGAAATAGCTGTCTCCCTGCTGTGGATATAAAGGATACAATCATCTTTCTGCTGAACCTCTAGATCTCATGCATGTTATTATAATAGACTTTGTTACTGCTGAGACATGAAATAACGCTTTCACCAAAAGTTTATTTGAAATGCACTAGTTTTTGAAGCCTAAAGTAAGTGTTAAAGTAATGAAATGTTTTATATTCAGCTCTAACACTGGACAGTCATGGCAAAAAGGAAAAATATTGCTGCATTCAGCCAGGTATTTTGTAATTCATATTACTTATGCTAGTCAGGGAGAATAAGACATGCAGAGATAGCATAGAGATGTCTATGATTTTCCTAGAATTTTGTTTCTTGGTGGGGTTTGTGAAAAATGTGATTAAGATTTATTATTAATATTGCAAGCTTTATTAATATTGCACCTTGTTCATTGTTCAGTTAAATATAAATTGTGAAGCTCTGATTCATTTCAGCTTTGTTGTAATGCAGGGCCAGATTCCACACTGCAGAAAGGGAACATCCTTCTGCTATACCTGACTGTATCACTTGAGAAGTCCTTAATGTCAAAGTAGCTTCTATAAATAGTAATATAGTAGTGTGAACAGATGGGAAATGTCTGCTCTTCCCTGGAAGTTGACAGTAATTTCTTTCATTTATTGAGATATTTTCCACTTCTTTAGAGAGGTGTGCCTCTATGCAGTCTGCTTGGCATCTAAAGGGTGTGATACTGGACAGTTGTAAATAAACCTTTGGTTTAAGGGAAGGCATTAGGCAGACTGAGAAGTCACTCCTGTTGGACTGTCTGCTACATAAAAACAGAATTAATGCAGACTTGAGTAGCTGGACTGGTGACAACATAACTTATGAAAAATAAAATATGAGCATTTCATTTTATGGGACTCTTACAACTGGATGTGCAAAGAGTACTGGGTAATGACAGTGCCTGGAAGGGCGAGAACCTTGTAAGGGTTGGAGATTCAGTGCAGCCATCATTTGTATGACTTAGATTTTATTAAAACCAGCAGGTATTTTACCACTCATATTCACTGCACTATCCCTGGTGGTATAAAAGCTCTCAGAAAAGTACAGAGCATTTGTCAAATCTCACCATAAATTGTATGTTTCTGTAAGCTTGTTGCTGCACATAGTTTCTTTAGAATTTCAGTCATCCATATCAAACCAAAGCATGTTATCAAACCTTTGGTCAAATGAGTATGCAGTGATGCACAAAGCATGTATTTTAGATTCCGGATTGTCAGGAGATTATGTAGGCTTACATGGACTAATATGAAAGTAAGCTCTTGCACATCTGTCCAGAAACTAATGTTATTTTTAAGTAACACTTCAGTATTCTTGTATGTGTTTTGCAATGCCTTTTATGTAAATATCTGCTGTTGCAGATACTCACAATGCAGTTTTTAGATGAGTGTAGCCACTGACTACTAGAAAGTGTGAAAAGAGTTGTGTAAATCAGGTCTAGTAGGATAAACACAGGTTACAGTACTAGAAGTATTATGTTAAAGGAAGTACAAGTTTAAGATTTGACATGCCATTGTTCCTGGAAATGTCTAATTTATGTAGAAATAAATTAAAGAGACAAAAAAAAAGTCCATCCAAAAAGCCAAGGAAAACAAGGAAGAATAGTCCTAAATGCTTAGGTCCTGTGAGGGTGAGCTGATTTGTTACACGATACATCTAAATAAATTTAAAAATGTCTTGATAAATTCTCCTTTTTCAAGGAACTCAGAGGATTCTTCAGTCTCAGCTTCAGTTGCACTCCTGGCTTTGAGACACAGGTACAGTAAAGGGGTGTAGTCAGCTGCCAAACAAGACAGGCTCAGTCTATTGCTGTGCAGTGTGGCATCCCTGATTGCCATCAGCAGGCTCATTCACTGAATTCAGCACTTCACAGTGGTGGTCATGGTCTGTCTCAGACTGGCAACATGGGACACACTGCACCAGAGGAAAGCTGCAGATCTTGTATCTGTCCTGTTTGAGGCTTTCCAATTAAGGTATTCATCTGATCCTTTCTATTCTAAATGTAAAAGAAATAAATAGTCGTGAAAGTAAAAATTAGAGCTCCCTGTTCTTAGATGACAGAGCTCATGGGCTACAAAACTCCTTCCCTCTTTGTTTCATATCCATAAATCTCTCTGTGGAGTGCAAGTGTTTTAACTGGCCAGGTGGGCACTGGGATATCATGA